TGTTTCTAAAATGTTTACGGGACTTGTATTCCTTAACGGAAGCAACAAGATCGGACATTTGATCATCTAAAATGCTTAGCCTATCTTTATGCAATGATTAGCTTGATTGCGACTGACCTGCACAACAAATATTATGAAAATCTGACGAATTCATCTCGATAATCTTATCAGCCATCTTCGCCAGATTTTCAAGATTATCTGTGCTAGCTACTAAGATGGCACGAGAAGTATTTGGCAGTCTTTGTAACAACATGGTGCGTAAAAAATCATCTGTCACTTTGCCATTTGCTAAATTTTTCATTTCTCTTAATAGAACAGATGGCTTTTTATCACCTAGTTCTAATTCGTTTAAAAACTTTTTGGACTTTCTTTCCTTAGATTCCTCAAATAGCTCAATTAACCTACTTTTAATGTCCTTATAAGGAGTAGAAAAAGGTGCTTTGGAAATTAAATCTGATAACATTTCTGCTATTTCTGAATCTAAGGAACCAAGAACATAATGATATTTATTAACTTTACTTGTGATATTATCTGTGATAAATTGTGATTCTACCTGTAAAAACAAAACCTTTACATTCTTCTTCCAAAATGATGGAAGCTTGATAGACACTCTGGATATTTTCATCGTCTTCTTCGTAGAGCGGCGGGTGTAATAGAATAAATTTATCCAAGTCTAACTGAAAGTCGCTTTGTTTCGCTGCCTAGACGTGGTCACCAATATGGTAATAGTGTCTGGGAAATCTTTCGATTGAAGGGCTTTATTATAAATCTTACAAATTGACAAGTTAAGCAAACATAACGTCACGTTGAATTGAAAATCAATAATAGAGACTTAAAGTGTTTCCAGTACGTTAACGTAAACGTGAACGTCAACGCACAAAAATAATGTTTACGTTAAAGTCCAAAAAATGAGTTAAAGTTGTTAAACGTATCGTGACATTTACTTGCCATGACAGATAATGACAATTTATATTACGATTTATTCTTTCCCAATTAAAAAGAGGTTATTTTATTTGCTTTACGTGCATACGCCAGAGCGTGTAAGCTCACGTATGTAGTTAAACGTGAACGATAGTTGAATACGATGTCAGTTTTCACGTATACGTTTACATTCGTAGCATCACTTCAACTCTCTATTATCTAAAAACAAAAACAACCCATTTTTAAGCTAGATTCACAGCGATCCACGACAATAGCAAACATCCAAAACACTTTAACCATCTTATCAATTGCTCACAACTATGCGCTTTCAGAGTATTAGAAAGTTAATCACTATCAACGATTTTTTCTAATGATTAATTTTTCTGTAGAGATAATTATTGCTTTCCCAGCCATTGTCGAACAAAACAGTACGAAACTATTGAATTACCGCCATTTCAACATGGTGGCTGCGCTTGCGCTCATCACATGATGAAAAGGTCTATTTGAGATAATTTATAAATATCATTTACCGGTTTGTTACTGCTCTAAATTTTAAATTTCCGCGATATAAACAAATTTCGATTTTCGTTCAATAACAAAACCACCTCAGTTTATGTTTAATTTACAAATAAAAAAACTCCTTTATGTCTGGTTTAAACACAAATAACTCAAGAAGAGCAATGCAGCCAATACCACAAAGGTGTGCGAGAGGAGAACCAGAAGAAAAAAAAAATAAGAAAGGAAAGAACAAAAAGAAGAGAAGAAAAAAGAAGAACAAGATGTGTTCAAGTAGAAATACTACCTTGTAAGATGTAAAAAAATATAATGCACTGCAATGTCCTAAAAATTTTTAAAGTATATAAAATATGTTGTTATTCGTTTTATTGCTGGTCTAATTATATTCAACGAAAAGAAAATAAAATGCAAGTGATGTTTTGCATCTCTGTTTTATTCGTACTAATATTTATACGATTTTCTTGTCACTTTATTTTTAACTTAAAAAACATACCTAACGGTTTAAATATCAAATTGTACACCGGGTAAAATAAAAATAAAAATTTGAACGCAAAAACCAAAAAATTTTAAATGCTACTTACAAAAAAGATATTAACTATACCGTTATCTCTAATAGGTTCGATAAAGTACTGAGTCGTTTAAAAAAATAATTAGAAGATCAATGATTGCGTATTCAAGTAATTTGGTAGCGATTATAAGAAAATGCTAAAATTGCTTACATCAGGGAACCATATATCACGCCTTGATATCTCGTATGATGTTGAGTAAGAAAATTTAAGAGAGGAAGCAAGTACTCTAATTACTTGGTAAACCGTATAATTTTCATAAATCGATGTTGATTTTTTGCAGTTTTTGAAAAGTACTTATCTTGAATAATAAACTCACTCACAATCAGGAGGTTGTTGTACTGGGTGATTTAACATTAAAATTAAACTGAAAATTCTTATGAAGGTCATTCATATAAAAAATAATATAATACTTCCAACTATTTCCAGTTAGAGTTCTTGCAGCAAGTAGTAGTTGCCATTATATTCATGCAATATGGATACAATGATATACAGTGTGACAATTTCAAAACTCACAGACGAAAGATATCAAAAAATGTTTAAAACTGTTTCTAGGAGAGGAAGAGACAACTAAAATATCATAAAAAAGAACTTACAAATTTGTAGTTCAACAAAACCAAAATTTCCTAATTTTTGATTCACTCTGTACAATTATTATTTATACCATTGGATGGCATCATTTATTGGCCTTTTAATGATGTATCACAAATAGGGGTTTGCTATTTAAAAATTTTTAGTTATGGTAGGCGAAGCCTAGTGTGATGGTACTAGTCTTTTGGATATTTTACGTCACCATTATCAATAGCAATAAAAATCAACTAGATTATACGAAAGTTATTTATTGAAAACATTTATTCTTCGATCACTTATTTCAACGAACCTACACAATTGTTACGTCGTCGAAATAAGTGTCGAATCAACACATTACAAAATATAGTATTAAATAATAAAATACATTCCTTAACCTACTTATATCCAAGTTCAAGGAACTATAACAACTATAAAAATTATATACAGTATAATAATATACGGAGTGGCCCAAATATGCTCCTAGATTTTTATGAGAATTCTTAAGAGCACCTAGTATCTCATGGTGGTATGCTGTTGAATTAAGCTTTTTAATTTGTAAATACTGACAAATTTCTTTTAAGATACATGCCAGAAATTCTGTACCTTGGTCTGAAACAATTTTATTTGGAATACCATACCTTAAAATAAAGTTATTTACCAAAACCTGATGGTGTGCGCTTCTTTATTTTTTAATGGATATGCTTCCACAAATTTTGTTAATTCGCACTGTAAAGTTAAAATATATTTGTGGTTTTCTGAATCTTGTGGGAATGGACCAACTAAATCTAAGTAAATTTTTTGAAAACCCGAGGAAGCTATAGTAGTGATAGTCATTGGCTCTTTATTTGATGTGGAATGTTTATACCGTTGACAATCGTCACATTTTTTCACAAAAGTTTCGATATCTTCACGCAAACCTCCCCAAAAATATCTCTTTTTGATATTGTTATACATTCTATTTATCCCTGCATGTTCTCCTGTAGGGAGAATGTGAAAATCATTTAATATAATTTGTCGCATTTCAAGATCTATGACATTTTATAAATCATTTATTATAGACAATTTGATACCGGTATCCTTTATAAGATTTGAGAACTTTAAAATATTTTCAATAAACTGTGCACTTTTATTTTTTAAAATAACTAATTCCGGAATTTCATATTTATCATAAATATGCTTTAGGTCTCTTAACATAGTACCTAGGTCTGATGTTGATCGAGGATCCTGATTAAAATATATTATTCGCGAATCTTTATTATACATTAAGTTCCCAATGATAAAATTCCATTTATTAATATTTTATTAATATTTATTTAATATTTTTAAATTCTGTCATAAATATTGGATTTAGACAAAAAGAATTTTTAGGGCGTTTCAATAATTCTATAACTCCAGGGTGATCAATTCATTTGTCAGAATTTTTACTGAAACTACCTAAGCATTCATTTTCGAGATTCTTTGTTTAAGCTCTTGTTGTAATATAAACTGTATTACATATTTTATTATTCATATTTTTCAATTCTTCTGAAGAGAGAGGACATCCGCTACAACATTTTCTGTACATTTAAATATCTTACAATAAAATCATATTCTTCTAGAATTAATCCAAATTTTATTAATCTACTGCTTGGATTTGTCATTCCAAATAAATATACTAGTGGTCGATGATCTGTCAAAATCAAAAATCTCCTAGCGAACAAATAAGGTCTAAAATGTTTCACCGCGAAAACTATTGCTAACATTTCTTTTTCTATTACGCTATCATTTTTCTCTGCTTTATTGAGAGAACGACTAGCAAACGCAACCAGTTTATCATCGGAGTTTGACAATACAGCTCCTAACGCATAATTCGAGGCGTCGGTTCTTACTATGAATTGATTTTCTGGAGAAAAATCTCGGTATTGCAGGACTGGTGAATTAGTTAATAATTGTTTTAAATTCTCAAAAGATTTTTGGCACTCTGCACTCCACAAAAATTGAACTTTTTTTCTTGGAAGATTATTTAGTGGTGCAGCAATATCTGCGAATTTTTTTACATATTTTCTATAGTAATTAGCGAAAGCAACAAATCTTTTAACTTCCTGAGAATCTTTTGGAACTGGAAAATTTTAAATAGCTTCTATTTTAGAAAATTCAGGTGAAACACCTTCTGCAGAAATTATGTGACCTAAATAAAGAATTTCTTTCTTTAAAAAAATCACATTTATTTGGATTTAACTTTAATCTTACCTGCCTTAATCTTTGGAAAACTTTGACTAAATTTTTATTATGATTTATTAGATTATTTGCAAAAACAATTAAATCGTCAAGAAATATTAGAAACAGTTAACGGATCATTTCCTAAATGAAACACATCGGAATATTTTACTACAATTTTTTCCAATGAGTTTTTCTCTTCCGTATTTAAATGTTCTAATTTTATTAAATTTAATAATTTATCTGCTCTGGTAATTCAAAAGGTAGGTTTCTTAGCGTAACTTCCTGGTCTCTCACGTTTAAAATTTTAACAGGAAATAAATTTTGTCTTGCCATAACAAGCGTTCCAGCTATAAAAACACCTTCACATAATTCGTTAGGTAGAACACAATCTTCGTTAATATTTACTTTACAATATTTAATTACTTCACATCTAGCGGGAATTGACATGTAATTAATTTGATGTGTTGTTTGAATAGGAATCACATGTCTGTTATTATGATATGAAAACCAGAATAAAAATTTTTCATAGTCTATTTTTGCAAAATAATCGTAAAAGAAATTTGAGCCTAAGATACCGTGCATTTGAAGGTCTGGTTCAAGTTGAAATTCAAGACAAAGATTTACTTTATCTATTTGTAATGTAATATTCATTGTGCCAGATGATACTACTGACCCAGATATACCATTTATGCGTAATTTCTTTGAAACATCAACTACTTTATTATTAAATATCCTATTTTTAAAAATAACACTTACGCTAGCCCCTGTATCTAATAGAAATATTAAAATGATTTTTAAAGAAACATTCTACAAAATTTAGGCCATTTAAGGAAAATATGTTATAGTTATTATATGCCATATTTTTAGGCACGAAAAAACTGGTCACTCGTTGAAGGGATTTCTGAGCTATATGATTAATCCGAATTATTTACATGAAATATTCTTCTATCTTTGCCTCTAAAATTATTTCCTCTCATATTACTGTTAAATCTACCCCGGTATATATGTCCTCTGTTGCTAAAACTAACATTATTTTTAGAATAATTTTTATTACAGTTATTTTGATTATTAAACCCTCTAGAAATTTTGTTATTGCCTCTATAATTAGATTTAAAACGACCTCTCATATGATATGCTTGCACAATGTCATTATTAAAATTGTTTAAATTGATTTCTTCATCTTTAGCCCCTTGGATTGCTTCATTCAGTTTTGCATAATTTCGAGCTTTAATAATAGTTTGCAAATTCCTATGTCGCAATCCATTTGCAAAAGTGTTGAGAACAATTTTTTCATTTATTTCACTTAAAATCTGAAGATTATTTTCATTATCGTTGGCTTGGGTAAGCGATAAGTCGGTTAACAATTCTTCTAACGTTTTCCCAAACTGTTTGATACTTTTTGAACCTTGCTTAGCATTATGTAGTTGTGTAGCTAATGATGTTGAAGATTTTTTAGAAATGAAAAACTTTTGGGGATATTTGTTTTCCTTTTGTGTTGACATAGGACTGATTTGTATATTTCCTTTGTTTCCTTTCACTTCTATTGAATTCTCCAAATTTTAACTTCCTACCGTTTTTGGGTCGCCCAGTTTGCTTTGTACTCATATTATTTAGGGATACTGCAGATTTTTCGTTCCAAGGTAGTGGAATGGGTATTAGTGGATCACAGAGTAAAGGTGAATTTGGTGAAGAGGCAGTAACTTGATCTATTTCCTAGAATAAACAAGAAATATTTGAACAATCTGTCCTATAATAGGTAATTTTGATGACAAGCCTTATTAATAATAAAGCTAATAATAATTTTATTATTTTATGAATTTGTTATTAATAAATACAACAAAATAAACCGGATCCCGATTTTTTATTATAAAAGAAAAACCGTATTTTTTTATACTATCATAATTTTTTTGAAACACTCAAAAAGTTGTGTTTTTGACAACATAGGTAACAGTAAAATTTCAGCAAAATCTACAATTCATATAAGACGTTTTGCGTAGTCCTAAACTTACCATTTCAAAATCATCGGGATCGGACAAAAAGTCGGGATCTAAAATACTGTCATCGCTATCAAAAATAAAATTGTCTTCAAACACATTTTTTAATGGTTCTAACTGAAGAGAAGATTCACGATTTTTGCATTGTAGAAGTAGTGCTGATGAAGGTCCTACTAAAAAAAAACAAACACGTTATATGCATTGTATAGTAATACCAAAATAGCTAGCTAACAATGCTTACCGTCTACATCACAGTTGCCTGGACGTAAATTTTCCTTTTGAGAAACAGACGATCCAGATGGATTTGATATATTTGCAAATAAACAAGCTTGTAATCTAATAAACAAAAAAAAAAATGCAAAATGGTATACCTGATGTTTTTGGATTTAATCCCGTCGTCTAAATCCAAAGCCATATCAAGAATTTTTTTAATCCTCTTCATCCTTTGATTCACAATCCGATTATTACAAAAAAATATCTAACAGTTTATTAAATTACGATTAGCACAAACACGTGTAAAACGCACATAAGTATTCAACTGCACTGCTCAAAGAACATCAAACGACTAACGTTCGAAATTCAAGCGTGTACAGCACGCGGATCTATTCCGTAATTTTAAAATTTACTATTAGGTGTTACTGTAAATAATGCAGTCATGATTCAAAGATCTTGAAACGTTACAAAATACCAAAAGCTTTAAGTAAGTATTAAAATTTATTTTGCTAAAATGATCCAAACCATTTGGATCATTTATACACATTTCATTTGGAGATAAGCTTCCTTAAAACTTTAAATTACAATAATGATTCAAGTAGTTTGAATCATTTCTGTAAATTAACTATAGAACATTTGGTTCTCCGATTGAAAAGGTGACTAGTCCATGTATGATGGTACACTATTGCAAAATTGAAGTGGGCGAAAAATAAGGTTGGGCTTGGACATTTTTATGATTTCCACTATTAATATCTTTCTAAATGGTTGGATCGTTTCAGCAGAATATAATTTTGGACGCTAACATATCGAAAAGCTACTCAAGTCGTTTCTGGTAGATTTGTGGATTGGATCATTTCTGCATAACTACGTCCAATTAATATAAGCCACAGTAAATCTGATAAGGAAGGTAGTGAGGGTGATGGTAGTGATTTAAAATAGTTTTACGAACATAAGTTTTCTATTAATTTTTAAGAATTCATAAATAAAAAATTAAATCAGTAAATCCTTCTTTTGATTTCAAATTATATTTGCTTGTTAAATACAACTTTGTACAGGTATCAGTATCAGCAGGCCAAAACAAATAATGATTTAAACTGACAAAAAATTTTACACAATATCTTGACCGGTATAATATTTTCGTTGGTGGATTGGGTCCTAACTTCTGACGGTATAAGTTATTGACAGAGCCCTATAGTGTGTGGAAGTTGGATATATCCGTTAATATATAAAATATCAAAAACTAGTAAAAAAATTATGGATTATGTTGTTTAATTCCATTTATAAGGCGACCATGGTGAATGGCACTGCACGTTTTTATGGTGATACATTATATCTAAAGGTCATTTGAGTAATTCACATAATCAAATGTTAATCTGCACATTAAAAAAATATTTTTGAATTACACAGAGTGGCCCAAAACTTCAGAATTCATCAAATACATTATTTTTTTTTAATGAAACACCCTGTATTTGATTCTAAATTTGTTTGGGGCATGTTCATAAATTTTGAAAGTTTTTTTTATGAATAATATAGTTCAAAATAAAGCTACATTTAAATTTTTTTTATTTATTAATTTGCACGAGTTATTATTTTTTTAAATTTATGACGTCACCTGGAATAGACCAATAGGAACTAGCCACACAACGTTGCCAGTTAGACGGTATACGAAAAGTAATATACGTTTGTTTGTGTGCACCGCCTTACTTTTAGACTTCTAAAATATCCTAAAACAAATATCTTTTAATTATAAAATATCAAATGATTTTAAAAGTATTATTTATCTTTAAACTTTCACCATATTTATAGTTTTATTGTTTTAAAAAACGACTACTATTGAACAAGACAATGGCAATGCAACAACACTGCATGTGTCACCTGCCAATAAAGAATTTGTGTGTTGTGTCAATGGATAATTATTTAATTTTGATGTTTTTATAAATATTATGAGTACGAAAAAATGTTTCCTCCCAAGATGTAATAATGATTTGCATTTTACATTCATTATTAAAAATATTTATTATTGTTGCTAAAATTATTTTGAGGTTTGTATCTATACTCCATTAAAATGTTTTGTTGTAATTTATTAGACTTCAGTTATCTACCATTGTAGTAACGATATTTTTTCTTTTTTTAGATACCAAATAAATTTGGAAACTGTTAATTTTTTAAAGATAGATAAACCTTTACATATAAGAAGTGAGTAGAACCACACCAATGTCCCCACAGTTCTTGTTATTCACCACATAAGAGCCAGCTCACTAATTCTACCAAAAAAAGAAAAACAGAAAACAAAAAACATTTCTTCTAAAAAGTTGACTGGAAAATAACATACTATTTAATAAAAATATACCGGAATTCAAGATGCAGCTGCAGTTTCTGACATTGCCCCTTCCCCCTTCGGGAAATTTAAAATGCGCCTACTATAAGTTTGAAGGTGTATATCCTAAAACACCTTCTGAAAGTTTTAAAGATAGTGAAGTTTTGTCTGAATCAGAAGAAACAGCTTTAATATCTGATCTATAGGGACTTAATAATAATGAGCAGGATCTTCAAAACCAATGAACTCTTAAAATAATTGAAAATAAAACGAAGGTATATTTAGGATTGCACAACAGTATTTTTAAAATAATCAAAGATATTTATGAAAAGGAAAGTGTAGCCTTGCATAAACCTTTTACATTTCTGTGTGATTAGTGGTATTGTTAACTTAAAAGAACTCATTTTGCAAGACTAAATACCTACTAATTTAATAAACTGTTTAATTGTTTTTTTTTAATTAATTTATCACATTTTAGAGATTATAATAATTGTATATAAACAAAAATGTAAAATCTGTAAACATTTTATTTATTAACCAATTATTAAAATATAAAAGTACCTGAATTAGATATACAAAGTAAAAATCACTTTATTTACAAATAATAAAAATTATATACACAAGCCCTAACAATAGGGATGCATAAATTTAAATTTCGTCTAAAGATTCATTATCAAATTCAACTTGTTATCGACCTTATTATTTACTGCAAATGTGAGAGAAACAATGCAAAATACTTTATGTTCATGTGTAATTATTCCTTTTCTCAAGTTATTCATGGAAAATCGCATTATCTCCATATACTTGCTTGGCAGATCTAAAAATAATAAAATATTTAATAAAGTGATGATTTTTTAGTATTATCAAGAGTACATTTTTATGGTTTCCTATTTTTTCAATTTTTATTACTTTTATATGTTCTAAATTATTTCATAAAATAATAACATATTTGTGATTTTATTATTTAAATTTAGTAATATTATCATAGATTTAGTCATATAAATACTAGACATGTGTATATTAGTTGTACCAGAAAGAGTTTGTATATTTACAAAAAGTAGTAACTTATACACAAAAATGTATTTAAATTAAAATTATTTGCAATGATATGTAGCAAGTAGGTAATCCTCGACCAAATAAAAATAGTAGTATAGTAAATACATGTGCACTACCCTTCTAATTAGTTTTAATTCTTGAGGTAGGCAAAATGTATAAACTTGTTTTATACCATAACAAATTTTCTATTTCTCAGCAGTGGCGTGCGGTAACGGGAAGCGGGAACACATCACAGAAAAAGAGACTTCCTTGCATCTTGTGTGAAAAAAAAATACAACCTGCAATCCGACGAATCAAGGTTACAGTCAATAGTACATGTGATAAACCACCTAGAAAACCGAACTCATCCCATTACTTTATCATAAATGGCAATGAAGTCAGAGTTTGTAAGATTGGTAAATACATTGAGTATTGGTGAAAAAATTCTACGGAACGTAGCTGAGAAGATATCTGATAATCCTTTGTATATTATGACTCCTGTCGATAATCGTGGAAAGCACGGTATACAGTGTAAACTAAATGATAAACTCATACAATCGGTTTGTAATCATATAAACTCGATTCCGCAAGTCGAAAGTTATTACTTAAGAAGTAATACAAGCCCAGAATTAGGAAAGTGACACATATCACACTATATAGTCCTTTGGAAAGTGCTCTATATCACACCTGAAACAGAACGGATGTTATGCTGCCAAAAAGGGCTGATTCAAATAATCAAACTAAATAAATTAATAACGTATTTGACACCTTACCTTTTGGAATATTGGACTGATCGGCGAGCGGCACACATGAAGCAAAAAGGCACAAATATTAAGCGACGGCGAACGAACTTGTTACTTTGTTGGCGATACATCGATGTCTCTTCATTCTTTTAAAAGGTCCAAAGCATGAACCGTTTAGGTGGGGCAAAGTGTCAAAATAGATAACGCGAATTTAAATTAAGAAATTAATAAAGAAAATAAATCCATTCTCGAACAACACCCGTATGAATAAGAATTCACCTTCCACCCGTGTACGAATATGCTACTTTCCGCACAAAATGTCAAACGCATCATTTCTATTTTGATCTGTGTAATCCATATTAATACTAAAATCAATATGTTTGTTAAATTATTGAAATTGTTGTAAATTAGATCCTACATATTTATCTTTAACAATTATTATTATTAAAATAATTTTAAAATAACAAAGTTATATTTACATTACCTCTGTACTAAACTAATATTTATTTGTATGGTTTTTTAAGGTTTCCTATATCAATGATGACAAAACATTTTGCTTCTTCTGGTACGAAGGTCTTGGTAATGAAATAGGAACGTGCCTTTCCAAGTTTTCGAAAGACTTTCTATCCAGCAACCCGATATGGATTTAATACTTTATTCTGCGGACAGCAGAAAAATTAGTGAGTGGTTTTCAGGATATTCTGTATTACGGAACCTAAAAAATATTGCTTATATTTTGGATGAAAAATATTTTACATCATATTTTTTAAATTTCAGGTTCGTTTTTGGAATGTACTTTTATGCTGTCAATACATTTTCTATAAAGTCCATCACACACAAATTTCTTATTAGGGGTCACACCCAAAATAAAGCTAATGCAGTTCACTCAGTTATAGAAAAAAGCATTAAACGAGACAAAAAAGCAGGACATACCTACTCACCATCTAAATATATAAGTCTCATCAAAAACGCAAAAAAAGAACAAATGCATAGGTAAAGAAATGAATTTTGACGTTCTTTGATCTAAA